GTTGTTGTACATAGCGTTTATGCTGGGGTATCTACCTCGACACTTTGAATTTCGACATCAAACAAATCCTCACCCTTCCGCCTCAACGTGATCCCCGTTCCACCAGAAACTCACACTAAAACTCACACTCAGACTCCTCACATAATGCCACCACCCCATCGGGATATACAATACGTCCCCCTTCTCAAGCACGCAGTCCCAGTGCCGCAGCCCCCGGAACTCCTCCAGCTCAATCGCGTCCCTCCCCTCCGCGTCCTCGTCCCACCCCTCCACGGCCCCAACATCGAACCCGCTCGTGTTCGACATGTCCACCTCCTCCTCCCCGCGCGGACACAGCGCCTCGGAGTCGTGCGGCGCGTACAGCCGCAGGTACTTGGCCCCGACGACCTGGCAGAGCAGGTTATGGTACCCGTCCGTGTGCAGCGGCGTGATGGTCCCCGGCGGGCCGAACCACGCGTTCACCAGCGGCAGCGCCAGCTCCGGCTTGTCTTTCGAGCGGTCGAGAGGGTGCGGCGGCGGGGTGGTGAAGCAGTGGTCCGGCGTGAGGATGTCGTTCTGCAGGTGCGGGAGCTGCGTGAAGAGCTCGTGCTGCGCGAGATACGTCGTCTTCCCCTTCTCGCCGGTGATCCGCCTCAGTAACTCCTTGAACGGGATCAGCTCCTGCGTCCACCCCTCGTCGACGTAGCTCCGCCCGACCTCCACGGGCACCAGCCGCCGCCCGCCGCACGTCCTGCTCATCAGGTACGCGGGGCTGTCCCACGGCCGGCTCGACAAGGCGGGCCACTCCGTCAGCAGCCCCTTCAGCACCAGCGGCTCCGGCCCGAGGTCCCCTGCCGAGTCGAGGTACCGTTGGAACCCCGCCATGGACATGCCTTCCACGACCTCGATCGGCCTCGTCACAGGCGGCGTGAAGACCCTCTCCGTCGGGAACCTCTCCGGGAAGGACGCCGCCTGCGTCGGGACATCGAGGTACGAAAGCAGCCTCTCAATGACCCTCCGGCCCCTACTCCTCCCCGCGCCGCCAGCGAGAATGAGAGCCTTGTCCAGCACCCCGGCCAGCTCACCCAGCAGCTCTTCCTCGCCCGCATCGTCGCTTGCTGCGCCCGTCGTGACTAGGACGACAAACTTCATCAGGCTCAGCTCCGTGTACAACACCCTCCAACAAAACGGCAGCTCCGCGTACACAAAGTCGTAGAACCGCTTATACGTCCTCTCCAGCTTCTCGTCGAGCAGGCGGGTCATCTCCGCCGCTTCCTCTTCAGCAGGCGAGCGTGCCAGGGCCAGCGTGCGGCGCGCAAGCTCGCTGTACCGCTCGAAAAGATCTTCGGTGAGAGCGTGTACGCCGTCCGCCTTCAACGTCTCGTCGTCACCTGCGGCGAAGTCTTCTGGGCGAGAGGACGCCATCCCGAGGGCTAGGTCTGTGCATTCTTGGCTGAGGGCGGGGTTGCTGAGGGTGTTCATGTTCCTGGGGCCAACGAAGCCATTCAATTCATAGATGAAAGTTATGATGCCTAGCTCGTTGTGAAAAGTGAGTTTGTGGATGAGAAGCAGCGTATGTTATGAGAGTGTTGGTGGTGAGATGTGACAGTTTGAGTTGCGCCAAGCGGGTCCGTCTGAAGGTGCTGGTGAGCTCGTGCCAGATGGGACGAACTGTCAGCCAACAGCATTACACCCCTCAGCCCATCGATCAAAACATCAAGGAGAATCGGTTATGCAAAAGTCAATTGAAATACAATTCATGCGACTTTCGGTCTTACACACTATCACAAGCTTCGTGAATGCCGTATCTCGTTGTATTGCGTTGATTCGCTCTGTACTGAAAGGGGTTCTGTATACTCTAACATGTCCATACTCCTACAATACCGTCTTGACGGCCCTCGACCAGGTACCCGTCCTTAACACGTACACGTTCTACAACGGCAGGCGTCTTGTTGTCGTCTGCTTCCGCAATGCCGGCGCCGCACTCCCACTGCCGGCCCTCTACCTTATCGTACACTTTCACAACGTCCTCGCCCGCCGCGCTGACGATCCTCCTCTCGTCAAACATCATGCTGGTGACTGCGTTATCGTATGCGTACGCGTCGTAGATGGATCCTGTACGGAGATCCCATATCTGGTCTGGTTAGCCGGTTTCTCTTTTGCAGTCATGGAAGAACTTACTCTAATGCTTCGGTCCATGCTACCGGTCACAAGATGAACGTCGTCGAATTGCAAGCATGTCACCGGGCCAGTGTGTCCCACCAAGCTTCGGTGAACCTGGCCGCTTCGCAAATCCCATAGACGAACCATGCCATCGGCGGTACCACAGGCGAGAGCTGTCTCAAACACTTGCAAAGCCCCAATAAAGTGGGCCGTCTGCGCGGGCGCTCTACTCGTCTGCCTCCAAGAGCTGTCGCTGCCAAAGTTGGCAGAAGCCTGAGCTGCTGCCCACATAACATCGAGAGTTTGCACGCAACGACCGTTTTCAAGATCCCACTGCCGCAGAGTTTTGTCTGCTGAACCGGAGACAAGGATATCGTTTCTGAAGTGAAGGGCCGTAATTTCGTCAACATGTGATTGCAGGGTGTAAAGAGGACAATCCCTCATGCTTCCTGCAGGAGGTTCAACCGGGCTGTCGTCGGGGTTCTCAAATGCTATTCCATCTTCATCATCGTCGAATTGGCTGCCGTGAGGGTCGTAGTGAGCCTTGCTAAGATCCCACAGACGAATTGTAGCGTCCATGCCACCGGTCACCAAGAAGTTGTCTTCGACCTGCAGCGTTCTGACCGATGCGGTGTGACCTTCTAGCAAACCGATGCAGCGTCCCGCGTTGAGATCCCAAACCTTTATCGAGTCGTCCATAGCCGAGGTAACCATAGTTCCAAAGGGTGCGTCAAAGTCGAGAGCCGTAATAGTGTCCTGGTGGGCGCGAATTTCCCTGATGGCGGTGCCCGGTTCAAAATGCTCGTGCAATATCGGCATAGATTTTCGACGAACAACCTTCTTCTTCTGTTTTGATGCCGGGGTGTTGGATGCGGACGGTAGCTTCTCGTAGACGGATTGCGACATGAAACCGGACTCATCCTGATCGCCGGCAAGGTCCTCCTCAGTTTTTGTAGGCGTGTTGATAGCAATTGATTCCGCTTCGTCGAAGAGCTCTTGCGCTTCTTCTAATCGAGCTTCGGTGTCCATAACTGTGACGGGTTAGCTGAAGATCATAAGCTGTCCGCGATTCCACCTACGGTCGTGTTCCAGCATTGTCTCTTCCTGCTCTAGATTCGCTAGCCTATCCAGAATAATCCGTCGCATGCCGTGCAAGTTCGCAATCTTGTTGTCAATGTCACGAATCTCGCTGCTGGCCATGTTCTTACGAACACCCAGCATTTCGAGCTCGTGCATCATCGACGCCTTGTCCTTTTTCAGATTCTGCAGCTCCTGGGGTGTGCCGGGGGTATGTGCCGTCTCGTCCAGCAACTTCCTGCCCCTCGAAACCCGCCTCCGGTGCTTCCTGCCCTCTTCCGTCAATTCGGGGAAGCTAGCTTTGAAGCCCTGGAACAGAGAAAAGGAGTTGTCGCCCTCGGGAATGTTGGCCAGGAGCTCATCGGGAAGGTACGTCAAAGCGCGGTGCTGGATCTCCGTCTTGGAGAGCTTTGAGCGCACCAAGTCGGTCGGGGTGGTCTTCGCCATCGAGAACATGCTGCGCTGGACGTTGGGGCGGCGCAGCTGTTTGTGGACCTCGGCAAGGGCGCCATGGTAATGGCCATGGCCGTTGCCACTCTGCTCGGAAAGAGGGCCGATCAAATGGCTCGCGGTGGTGGTGACCTTGCGCCCGAATGCTTCTATGCCACGGGTCTGAGGGGGATTATTATCAGCACTGGATCAGGCCACGATACCGGCCAAGTCGATGCCGCCGGGGGGTCACGCGAGTGGCAAGCGTGACTTACAGACAGGACCGACTGGTCGTCTCCGGCATCGTCGTTGAAGCCATACTGGTCGTTATCCTTATCCGAGGCGGCCATGCGTACGTATTCTCCGGGTCAATACGCGCGACAATGGTGGCACAAGGGGGATGAGGTCGAGGTCGGAGGGAGAGGAGAAATGGTGTAGGTAGCAGAGTTGTGGAAATAGCTCCGGGTCGGTGGTGGTTTTCGACAAGGTCAAGTTTTGTTGTCTCGGTCAAGAATGGACTACGTATCCACACACCAGACAAGATCCCGGCAATGACCCGGTTGGGGTCGGTTGTGACCGTCCCAGGCCCAGTTGTGTGTCCCAGTGTGTGTGCGCCCGCGAATGACGAAGGCGCTAAAACCCGAGGAGCTCCCTGCACGTAGCAGGTGCACCTCTCCCGTCTCTGGTGCGGTGCGGCGTGCCCCCTCAGCTGGACCTGGGCCAGTTCCAAGGCCAGCCAGCAGGTCACCTCAAGGTCGGGTGGACACTCCGACTTCTGGGCAGTGGGCGGGCTTCCGACGTGGCTGCCTCCAATCCGCTAAGCTGCTTTTCCATTAGCGACCACAAGGCTCGAAAACACGCTCAAGACGCTGAAGGTAGCAGCGCCCGCACTTTTGGTCCACGGAGCGGCGTGGATGGTCCGGGCTTTTCTTCCAGCGTCCGGACGGGACCTCCTGAGCAGTGAACAGCGAGCAGCTGCTGGAATTGACATGTCGCAGGGGGTCCTGATTGGTGCCCGCCGGAAGCGACCCCTGTGCCTGTGCTGCAGGTCCTTTTTCCCGTCAACGAGATTGGCACAGCCTTGTTCGCTCTGAAGGCAGTGCTGAGATGAGATCTTTTTTTTTTTTTTTTTTTTTTTTGTCTCAGTTGGCACCTTTCCCCTTTTGCGCCGGCGTCATCGGCCTTGGCTCCTCTTCAAGCAAACCTTACCCCAAGATTTTGTGACTCGACGATAACCAGTCCGGATGCGTTTCTCTCACCAGCCAGACCCCCAACCGCCAATTTTGCGCCAGAACAATCCTCACGGCCCAGTCTACAATATTTCCTCTGGTTTCCAGTCAATTGACGACGAGATGGACTCCCTTATCGACTTATCGGACCCCTCCAAGGCGCTGGACCTGTCCCGCATCCGGTACCAGTTGATGTATGTCAACCCCAAACTCCCCGAGAAACAATATCTACGGCAACAACTGACAATGTAACCCAGCCGCCTTGAGGACACAATCACCTTCCACCTCATCGAACGAGCCCAATTCGCTCTCAACAAGACCATCTACGTCCCCGGCGCATTGGATATCCCCAACAGCGAGCTCAGCTTCATGGACTGGTACCTGCGCGAGCAGGAGAAGCTGCAGTCCATCATCCGCCGCTACGAGTCCCCCGACGAGTACCCCTTCTTCCCGGAGGCCCTCCAGAAGCAGATCCTCAAGCCCCTGCACTACCCGCGCATCCTGCATCCCAACGACGTCAACGTCAACGACAAGATCAAGAAGTTCTATGTGGATACCTTCCTCCCCGCACTCTGCCCCGATTTCGGCCGAGAGGACCGCGGCGAGTCCCAGGAGAACTACGGCTCCTCGGCAACCTGCGATATTGCCTGCCTGCAGGCCCTGTCACGCAGGATACACTTTGGAAAGTTTGTCGCCGAGAGCAAGTTCCAGTCGGACCCGGAAAAGTACACCGCGCTTATCAAGGCCGAGGACCGCGACGGCATCGGCGCCGCCATCACCAACGCCGCCGTCGAGAAGAAGGTCCTCGAGCGCTTGCGCCTCAAGTGCCTCACCTACGGCACCGACCCATCCATCGGCGCGGGTCCCGAGAACCAGGCCAAGATTGACGCCGACTCCGTGGTCGCCCTGTACAAGGATTTCGTGATACCCCTGACCAAGGAAGTTGAGGTAGAGTACCTGATGCAAAGACTAGAGCCGGTAGAGTAGACTTTTAAAATGAAATGCTCGAAATGATTCATGACTTTTATTTTCATCCCCTCTATTGGCCGGGGTTCATGTACTTCTCTACCGCCTGGACCGCGCCCTCCCACTTGCTCGCCTCGATCAGGATCATGTAACCGTGCGACTTGACGCCCATCTCCTGGAATGCGCGCTTGCTATCCGCGACGGCCTGGTCGTCGTTGGTGTAAGAGAACGAGCCGTGTGCCGTCGCATGCTTCACGAAAACCTCGTCCTCGGGGTGGAAGTGCCACATGGCGGCGTCCGCCTTGGCCTTCTTGCCCTTCCTCTCCGTCTCGGTCAGTGTTGACTCAATCTCCTGGTACGTCTTGGAGAGGATCAGGTAGTGCGTGAACTCGTACGGCTCCTTGTCCTCGACAGCAGCCTCGATCTCGTCGACGAGCATGCGGTACATCGGTGGGGCAATCTCGGAAGGCATGTTGATGAGCCTCTCGCCGAGAATCAGGCCGACCTGAGCACCGCCGTTGATGAGGTTGGGGATAGGGGCCAGGGCCTCATTTGTCTGCGCCTTCTGAATAAGGTACTTGGCCAGGTCGGCCATCTCGGGCTTCTGGCTGTGCTCCTTGATGTTGAGCGCCGTGATGAGAGCGTAGGCGTCGTTCTCCTTGCTGTCGACCTTGACGGTTGAGCCGATGGTGGGTTGCGACAGGATCAGATCGGCGAGGCCAGAGATATTAAAGAGCGTCGCATCGACGTCGAGGAGTTGACGCAGCAGCGTCTTGGTGCCGTGGAAGTCGACCTCGGGGTCGAAGTTGAACCACTCGAAATCGACGTTGACGACATCGAAATCCTGATGTTGTAAGCTTTATTATGGGGAGAAACGATGAGATCTCTCACCTCATCGTCAGAGGAGTCCTCGTCCATTCTGTCGGCGACATCGTCGGCGGGCTTCTCCTCTCTTTCTCTCTTCTTGCCCATTTTGTAAGTCTGTGTTGAAATACTGAACGCCGGAGTAGTAGGCTTGGTAGATTTGAGGCCGCGGTCTGAGACTTGTCGCAAATGTACTTGCAGCTGGATGAGTGTGAGAACGTCACTGGCACCCAGATGGCCAGACCTGGTCGGTGAAGATGAAATTTTTGGTGGGGGTGCCCCTCACTAAGCCGTTTTGGGACGAAAGCCACCCTTATCGATAACGGTCCCGTCTCCCCTATGCCCCTAAGGTACGGATACCTGATGTAGAGTTGCTGGTTCCAATTTACAATATTCTTGACGGCTCGAACAACATTCATGGACACCGCGTCGCGGCGTCGCGGACATGGCATAGCCTTGTTTCATCGCAAAGTTTCGAATATGTAGGTTCTTGGAGTAACGTCATGCTGATTTCCGCGCTGATGTGATGGAAACTGGTGCTCGCTCATTTTGCCTCGGACCCTTCTTCGAGATTTCCTATCCCCCGTCTCCCCCGTGGTAATATTTTTTGATAGCTGTCTGATCCCAAGTGGTCTGAACTTGGCCCTCTGCATCACTTTGCGTAAGCCTCTGGCTCTCAGTGGTTGCTCATCTGCATGCGACCCCTGAGAACCAGGAATGCTGGAAACTCGCACTCGCAACAGAGGATAATCATGCAGTTAACATTGCCGCTGCTGGAGCGACTGCTGCATCTGTTGTGACTGACAATACTGCGCCAGAAGGAGAGAACATACGAGGTTTGGATGTTGAAATGAGCAATGACTCGGTGCCGCCGATTTCTAGTGTACTGCAGCCTGCGACCTACGAATTCAGAACTACGATACGACCTCTGATCTAAAGCGTCATCTCCAGCTTCTGTAACCAGACCCTCTTGTCGGACAGCTGACCGTAACACCGAGTGGTGTTCATTGTCTGTCTTACAGTTTGACTATGTGTGATCTATCTAATTTGGGCTGCGTGGCTCAGCAGGTATGCCTGGACTTGGGGATCTTGCATTGAGGCCTCTTCTGCCTTTGATGCCCGGCAGTATGAATCGCAACTGGTATTGTGATTTACATAGTATCCCCGACATCCTTTATCTACGCAAAGGGGCCTCCGAACTTAACAGCCACAGTCAGGCCCTTCTTGGCGTGTGTTCCAGCCGCAGTTAATAGTTAAGGCCACCACCGAGCGGGCGCGAATCGTTCGCGCTCATATTACCGCTTTATAGGCAAAATTGAGTCTAAATTCTAAGTGAGGTGCTTGAGGGCGGGCTCGTCCGTCGTCTGTTGACAGGAGCGGGTTGATCCGTCATTATTTAATATAAATAACTAGATCAAACGACGTGTCTGGCAGATCATGCTGGGACAGATATCGTACTCCCGTCAACTTTCATCGAAAAATGCAGTTCTTGAATTTCTTCTCCTTTGTCGCCGCCGCGACAGCGGCTGTAACAGTCCGTCGTGACGCCGGAGCGGTCGATTCCAACCTTCATAGCAGAGCTCTGTCCTGCAACGCTTGCGTGTAAGTTCACTGAGATCTTGCATGGCGACAAACTCGATCGTAAACTTAACACCGGGGTAGAACCACTGTGAAGGGCTCGTCTACAACAATTTGGGGCCCTTTTCCATTCTCGTTCGATAACGGAGGACCGGTCACGGACACGATCTACGAGCGCTGTACTGTTACGATCGACCGCAAGAACGCGACAGACTGTAGCAAGTGGGCCGTGAGGGCTGGGGGTGCGTGTGGAGATATCACCAAGCAACAGATTTGCTGAGAGATGCCACGATACCTACATCGGATGCTTGAATAACAAATCTAGATCAACCAAGACAGGGAGGACGGTATCCCCATATAAGTTCGTCAGCATGCATAGCAAGAAACACACAATATTTCGGAACCCTCGCTGCCTTCTCATGACCGAACCCATGAGAATTGACTGTCTAAGTGAGATTGAGGACGTGAAGCCTTTTTGCGAAAGGTGCAGTTTCAGTCACGGCCTAGGAACATTTCCCGAGCTAACTTGCACATTCCAAGCGCCCGCCAAGAGTAGCCTGTTGAAAGTGCCTTACATATGGTTGATCTGCCGCCACCTGCATGCCTTCGGCACAAGAGCCAGCCAATCCCCATGCTGAGCCTACTAATGCCATTCAAAAGTTGCGCAACTGCGCACTCCTCAATTACGCGGAGCGTCGAGTTCGAAAATCACATATACGTTAAACCGTGGCCGGCTTGAAGTTCTGTCGTTCTTCACATTCACATTTACCACGCTTCCGTCCAGCATATCTCATTCGCACATGTTTTAAGATGGCTAGGGGAACCGCGCCTCAACAGGATGAGCTTCCTTTCGACCCTGCGTATGACGGGTGCACTGATTGGAACGCGATCGTATGGGGTACCCCGCGATACCGCCCACGCGTCTCACGAGACTCAGGCATCCCGATAGCAAATGATTCCACTGCGCATAAACGCCGTGTCGCAAACCAGTCTTCAAAGGTCGTAACCCCAGAACGGCGGAACCTTTTTACCACGGAGAGCGTGGGAAATGGTAGCACGTACAAGCCTTGCCAGCTTAATTCCCTCGAATCCAACGTAAGGGACAGGTCTCAGCACAGAGTTCCCAGCTAATCTCGCAGCGCCTCCAAAGGGTGTTGGATAAGGTATTCGGGCCACGCAGTAACAAGAGCAAGTCAGTGGATGCCAACGACGAAAAGAAGCTCATGCAACATATAGCGGTCTTGGAGCGTCTCGGAGCACGCTTTGATGTTGAGTGCAACATGGAGAGGTCATGGAATCAGGCGCATAAGAGAAGCAGCAGAGGCCTTTTTGAAGCACACAATCCTCCCACGCATTCACCCACACGGAATCAGCCCTCAGACTCCTGTCATCGTCGGACAGAGTCCGGAACTCAACACGCGGATCTTAGCCTCCATTACCAGAGGGTTATTGAGTATCACGACCAAAGAATATTGGAGGGCCACGGCAATGATACACCTTCTAAGCATCAAGTCATTTTGCCGGGCGAGGCGCCAACGATAGGCGATCATGATCATTCGGCTGGGACCCCATCGCCTCCTAGCACAACTATACCCCGACATTCTCTTTCGGAAATCAATGCAGCTCGCATCGCTAGTGATGAAGAGATGGACACTGCGTCAGAATGCGTCACGTCTTCGCAAAGCATACTGGAATCCAGTTGTTCTTCTTCGTCGTTCTCATCTCACGAGAGTGACAGGCTCAGTGCAAGCGCTTGGAAGAGGATTTTGCTTGACCGTCTCATGGAGTACTTCTATTCCGTCATCTCTCCCAGCTTGGCATCCGAGGCAACAATACAGGCACAAGCTGGACAACGTGAAAGTACTCGAAAGGGAGCCATAGCCGGAAGGCTCATGAGTGGATCCTCCGCCACTCAGGGAGGCCACTCAAAGGAGAACTCGAAGAGGCGGTCCGAGGACCACGGAGCCGATCGCTCAGGTGATGGGGATGAACAAAAGAGGCCGCGTTTGACCTCTTCGTCTACGGAAGTTTCACGCCTCGCGTGTCCCTACTTTAAGAAGACCCCTCAACGGTATTGCACTTCAAAGTGGCGCTCATGTCCGGGGCCTGGCTGGGAGACAGTTCACAGGGTCAAGTATGTGTCTTTCCCACTGTGTCATGAAGCCTAAATGTTCTAACAGAAGGCCAGAGAGCATCTCTACAGGTGCCACATGCTACCGATCATATGCCCACGCTGTCAGATAACGTTTGAAACGGACGAGGAGCGTAATGAGCACCTACAAATGGACGATATATGTCCAAAGAAAAGCAAGCCTGACTTGTACGGCATTGATTCGAAGCAGGAAAAGCTTCTGCACAGCCGCAAGAAGGGGGGTAAGAATATGAGCGAGGCAGATAAGTGGAGAGATGTTTATCTCATCCTGTTCCCCAATATCGGTCCAGAAGACATACCCAGTCCATGTATGAGCCTTAACCAAGACGCACGACAGATCGCCTCGACTGACTTTGACAGATCTGGACTTTGGCGGCAATGCCGATGCCGGGGAGGCAGATTCGGCCTTTGCGCGGTACGAGCGGTACCTAAGACGAGAACTCCCGAGAAAAGTTCGACAAGAGTTCGAAACCCGTATCGAACAAGCCCTTGAACCAATGGAAGAGACTCTTAAGAGTCAGGTTGTAGACATCGTACGAGATGCGCAACTTTCACTCTTCCAGAGCTTTGTGTCTTCAAATCCAGATTCGGCAGAGCCCTACAACGGCGACTCAATGGCAGAGTGCGGGTCGATGGCAAGCAATCGTGCAGCATTTGATGGCCAGATAGAGGCACTCAGGCCGTTGCCCTACATTGAAGGCGGCTTCAACGGTATTTGCCTTCAGTTCCCGCCTGACCCAGCCAACTATGCCTTTCTCAGCCTCGAGGAGGCTTCAACCTTCGGGCAACAACCATCAGCGGCTTCTCTGCAGCCACTCGGATACGACGACCTGGACTCGGGATATTTCTCGATTACACCGTCTACGTCCCTATTTGACGCTGACAGCACTAACGGGCTACCAAAGGTAACCTCTAAATAATGTAGCTAATTCTCGAGTTGCGTCACGAGATGTACTCATGATCTCGCAACCCATTTAATAATATTAACAGCTGTCTCCGCTTTGATTTTGCCTTATGGCTCGTTTCATTCGTTGAATGGCTGTGTTCATGAATCCTCGACCATCTTCTCCTCGGCCTTCTCCTGAGGAACCTCCCCACCGGCCTCCTCCAGAACACTCGTGCTCTTCGTGACCGTCAACACAGTCGGCAACGCAAGGATCAGAGATCCGATGCTCAAACCCCAGTTCATAGCAAGCTGCGTCATGGCACTCGCATGCTGGGCATTGATCCTCCACGCCATCGCACCTCCAGCCGCTTGGAACGCCTTGTAAGCGCCAACAAGAACAGCGGCCCGGCCGGGGGAGTTGGATTGCGTTCCCATAAGCCAGTAGCAGTAGGACTGCCACAAAGAATCGTAAGCGCCATAGAAGATGTAAAGGAAGATCGGCCCGGTAGAGAGGGAGCCCTGCGTGTAGTCGATATCTTGGATAAGACCTTGAGCGTGACGAGCATCCTGCCACTTCTGGAAAGCGTATCCACCACCCCAGATCGCCATACCAGTGACGAACAACACAACCCATCCGAGTCTGGCACGTCCAGGGCGCTCCAGCATAGGCAGATCGAGAAGAACGCCAATGACAAGGCCGCCGACCATCTGCGCGAACCAGTACAAGGCTCCGTTCAGCGACCTCGTCCTAATATTGAACGTCATACCGTTCACATCGTTCTGCTGATACGAGTAGAACACATTGGCGCAGAAGAACAGCGGCAGCATGCACAGCACCCTCCAATTACACAGCGTCGCGACGGACATCTCCAACATGCCCTTCAGGCTCTGCTTCTCCGTCTCGGTGGCAGCATGCAGCTGCGCCAAGCGGATTCGCTTCGGCGAGCAGATGAAGAGGCCGAGGACCCAGCCGACGAGCATGATGGTCATCAGCGCAATGTACGTGGCGTCGTTGACGGTGCCGGTCGTGGAGTGGAAGTTGAGGCCGAAGGCGGCGAGGGAGCCGACGCCGCCGCCGAGGTTGAAGATGATCCAGAAGACGGCGATGGCGCGGCCCTTTTGGGACTCGTGGACGTAGGTGGTCATGATGGCGCCCTGAACGATCCAGATGAAGGAGGAGCCGATGCCGAGGACTGCGCCGGCGGCGATGACGAAGGCGCCGTTTGCGTTGTCTGGGATGGTCAGCCAGTGATAGGGGGTTCAGGAAGCAGTTGGCTTACGGTTGAAGCTGAGGAGACTTCCGCTGTACAAAGCGTAGGTCCAGCCACCCATCAGGAAGCAGATCTTGGGACCGACGAAGGAGAAGATGGGGCCGACGATGAAGAGGGCGGCTACTGCGGTGGTTGAGAGGAGGGCGACGTTGGCGTTGGCGGCGACGGTCGAGTCGACTTGGCCGGAGCCTCCCAGGCCTGAGAGCGCATTGAACATCTACACAGTCAACATAAATCCCCGTCAGACTAATGTAGAGACTTACGCCTGGCATGCAGAAGCAGATGAAGCTGATGAGGAGGATCCTGCGGCGAAAATTTAGGACCGGCTGAAGAGTACTCGAGTGCTGCCAACTCACTGTGTCCATGGATGGGAGTACAGTCTCATCATTGCTGATGACTCCTTGTGTCCGAGGTTCTCATTGCTCTCGACTTCATGTGGCGTGGCCACGGAAACTTGGTCTTCGCCGGCCATGTTGTTGACTCTCCTTCGCTGAAATTGACTGACCGAGTCTTTGTCAGGTAACGCAATCGCCGGCGCGTGACAGAAGGTAAATAAATCCTCAGAATATCACAACGAAACTTCAACACTCATTATCAAACAGGAACCTCAAGATAGATAGGCAGATGACACGAAACAGCAACGTTGAAGTCGGAATTGACGTTCCACGGTCCACCCCTATCTCTCTCGACAACAAGAGTTTCCCTCGGCAGAACACGCGACCACCGCCACTGGTTAACCACCCGGCCCCCTTTTTTCTTACACCATTCAGCACGGTCACAGCGGGGAAAATCTTTCTGAGCAGCTAGCAGAGATAAGCTGCGGGTGCGTTCGTGTTTTTCTCCGCACAATCCGATCTTCAACCAGGGATCTGTGCGGGTGAGCTGAGGTCTCAATTCGTCTTCGTGATTCGCTGAGCACCCAGCCATTGATCCCGGGAAACTGGGTCTACCCCGTCGAGCGGTGCCACCCGCTGCAAGGGACGAGCGCGGTTTCCGGTGGGAATGGGCGCAAGAAAAAGTGCCAAAGGAGGGAGGGTCCCTGAAGTTGAGGCTCCGCACGGTGCCCGGTGTTGCATGCCGCTTTCCTCACCGATGGAACGTGACATTGAGGCTTGGTGGTGGTGGTGGTGGTAGTGGTGGTAACGACATGACTTCCGTCGTCCAGTGTGCCGGCGACGACTTCAAATGTGAGGTTGCTCTCGTTTGAGAGTTGTTGACTCCGCCATGAATTGCCTTGCTTGAGTTGACAAGATGATTAGAGTAGTCTTCGACACTTTGCAACATGAGACGGTCCCGTCGGGTCGGTGGCGTTACCGGATCATTAATTCAGGCGTTCCGACTTTGACCTCACGAAGCAAGATGGGAACATACTGTCATTGCAACGTCTCCGCGGAAGATTCATGAAATATACCTACTACTCAATTGGAAGAATGGCACTCGCTTCTGCAACTGCCAATTTGCAAGGCGAAAAAAGGGGAAAAAAAAGCAGGCTCACTACATCAGCGCTGAGCGCTCTTGCCTTCTGGGTTACATACACAAAAGTGGGGACCAGCAACAACTCTCACATCAACCACCAAAACATATCACGATACCTCACGACACAGGCCTCGTTTGTTTCGACAGAGCCGCCACGCAATAAAAGCATATTTCAAAAATCGAAAAGAAAAAAAGAAAGAAAAAACTATTCAACGCTCATTGTGTTACTTGGTAACACAACCCGCGCCACCCGAGTTTGCCGACCACAGGATAATGAGGACTCGAACGGTGGTACTTGTGATCCTCATATGCGGATAAGGGGAAGAGGGAAGTGTTCCGCTTTGACCAACTGAGCCAAGTGGCTCGCATCAATGCTGAACCTGTGGTGGTGGAGAAGCTGTCCTTTTTCGAATAAGTAGCTCTGGGCTCTCACTTGGGAGGCCTGGGGCCGTGATGGGTGAAGAGAACCGTCAAGGTCGGTGGTGGTCTTAGGGAAGACAACAAAGGTGAACCCGAGTTGGGATGAAAAGGTCGTCACCGAGGCGTGGAAGGTGCGGTTCGCGGTGGGTGGGTCCAGGCATCAGTTTTCTCAGGTTGATTTTTCCACTGGGAAAGTGCGGGCCTTCCGGGTCGGTTGTCTGCGGTCTCTAGGAGATAAGAGATGTCGAGAACGGGAAATCCAATGTCTGATGGTCGGAGAAGAGGAAGAGGATCGTTGCGATTTCGCGACGGCTTCGGGGGAACGTGCCGCGTATTAAGGAGACATTTTGTTTGAATGACTATGTTATGGAAACGTTACCTTGGCCCCAAATGATAGTGCGAGTGGACACATACTCAGGTCGATCGGGTTAAACCCTACAGCCATGACTCTGCTACCCCGTGGGGACAACAACGTCGCACTTAGAGCACTCCACTCCTGGTACTTCCAAACCAAGCACTTGGTAAGGTATCATGAACGACATCGTGACAAAGGGACGTAGCCAACAGAGAAAAAGAAACATTGCCCCAGAAATCGGCCGCGTTCCAGAAAGACACGGCGCGGATGACCGGCAGGAACACTCACTCCCGTCCCCTCGAAGCCGACATTGACAGCCGACTACGAGCCGGATCCGGATGTTCACGGCTGCCAAAACGGTTACATATTGTTTGAATGGCATTGGAATGACATTGTCACATCTCAATACGGTCTGCAGAAAACGGCACTTCCAAGCGAGCAGTTTCCTCACATATCACTACTCAATAGATTATCGCCGCTACACCTGCATCGCCCGTCATCAGACCATCCAACCTACACCAACGGCCGATCTCCTTACACTCACACCCCGCTCTTCAAAACCGCAAGGACCAAAGAAGGTGAGTTCTGACTTCATTCCGCCCCGGATGCATGCCGTCCGACACGCGGCTTGCCCATGCTACATTCCTCGCTCGCTACCAGACGGCGAGACAGCCCATAGCTCGCACCTCGCGTCCAACGGCTTTCCGCACGTGGGATGTCCGCTGCGGGAAGAGAAATGAAAACATTGGGTCCTCAAGGAGGGTGTGACAATCACCTTGCATTTTGCGACGCGCATCCCTGAAACCAAAGAGGCCAGCTTCATCAACCTGTCCTTAGATGCTCTTTCAGCATTGCGGCCGCCGCTTCATATGCGACTGGCGGCCCGGCGGCTCTGGAGCCGGAGCCGCTCTCTGTTCTGATGCTCCATCATCCCGATTGGTGGGCAAATTCGACAACATCCCTTCGGCAAGGCTTCCCATTCGTCGATAAGCAAGATCCTGTCGAGTATCCTATCTCCCCGTCAGGATCGTCGGGAGAGCGATGTGCGGACGGCTATACAAACATGGTCTCTCTCTTCCGAATCACCATCCGTGCCAGACGGAAGGCAGTCCTGAATTGAGATACAGTGGGAAGCATTTCTAAGGACAATGAATACACTGGTCGTTGACGAACAATGCGAAACAGTCTCACAATCGAACAAAGGACGTCGTTATAAGATTGACGGTTTCACTATGGAACACATCGATGAAACAAGAACAATGTCGCTAATACCGCCCAGAAACATCTTGAGCGAGAACAAAATAAAGGCAAGATGCCATCCATAAATAGGCACCGTCTCGTGATGCAGAAGAGACAAGATCTTAGGTACACAACTCCCTCGATTACGCACAAGGCAAAAAAAAAAAAGGCCGCCCGGTAAGTATTCCACACTGCAAACGGACACAATGTGCGAGGGAACAGCAACCACAATGTCCTGCGGTCACACCCTCCGCTCTCGCCTCCGAGACTGCGGCAAGGGGGCCGACTGCAAAGGCGAGCTCTGGAAGCCCGCCTTCATCGACGACAGCTGCGCCGCGTGCCATCGGCCAATGCACCTCCGCGACAACCGCGCCCTGCACGAGGCTGAACATGCTATCCTGATGGCTGACTATCGCCAGGCGAAGAACGATGGTAACGGCGGGGAGATGCTGCGTCTGCACCGCGCCATGATGGCTCACACCCGTCTATCGCGGCTCCGGAACTTTACTGTAAGCTTGACGCGCGAAGAGCCGCTTGGCGATGTCAAGTGGCCCAAACCAGAGGGAGAAACCGGCAATAATGCACAAAATGATGGTGCTGGTAGTTCTGGATCAAGTAGCAGAAGCTGAATGAATTGCGGACTGGGTATAGATACAAAAGTCACAAAACCGCCGAATGAAGAATCAGAAACGCCTTGCTCCCTTTTGATGCCACGTCTTGACGCTCCGTACTCACAGTATCCCAGTTACCAAGGCCCTGTGAACTGGTTGTTGAACATACCTAGTCGTACGTCACTTGGCCCAATAAACTGCGCCATCTCCCACGCCGATGGCATGTAAGGACTCTGACCCATGGCGTCCTGCTTTGACTGGTTCGCGCTGACCTGCGCCTGCGCGTCCTTCTTCGCCTGGTTGAACTCCTTGACGCGTGCCGTGCCCAGCTTGCCGGCCCTCCTCTTGTCGGTGTTGCACCGCAGCAGCGGGACCTGGATGACCGCTCCGAAGATGTCTCTGACTTTTTGCTCTGGCTGGTTGTGCCGTTTCGCCACCTCTTCGAAGGGGAACACGTTGAGACAGGTGTCGGCGATGTCGACGATGATGTGTTTGGTGGTAAGCTGCGGTGGGTCCGTTGCCTTCGGGGCGGCGGATTTGCCTGTGTTTGCGGAACTGGGCGTTTGGAGGTAGGGATTCCTCTGGCTGGAAGAGTAGGTCGGAGCTACCGGCTGTGTTGACGTTGGTGCCATGGGAAGCATGTGCCCGGCTGGCTGCTGGGCTGGCATGCCATGAGGATATTGCTGTTGCGGGAGAGCGAAAGCGCTGTTCGGGCCCGCCATCATTGATTGTTGCAGCAACGGGCCGTACATGGCGCCAGCCATCGGGTTGGCGTAGGGGTTGATGCCGAGCATGTGTGGCCAGTGTTGCTGGATAGTGGAAGACGGCATGGAAGTTTGCGCTGCTCCTGGAACATTGGCGGTCGAAGGCATCGCGGCCGCGGCAGTCAGGTTTGCTGCCTGGCTCGCTGCTTGTTGCCGTAACCTCGCCTCCAAACATTGCCGACAAGGTCCTTTGGCTCCTGATGCAGGACGATCGCCGCAGGAGCCAGCTTGAGTCGTGCCATGGGCGGAAGCATGCGCTGGGGTATGGGCTGGAACTTGGGTAAGAGGTGCCACGGGACTAGGGTGAGGAGTGTGATGGTGAGTGTGGATGTGAGTATGAGGCTGGACTTGTGGTGTTGCGGTCGTGTTTGGTGTCTTTGCTGGGCTTTGGCCTCTCTGGAAATCCATCACTGGAACAGTTGATGCTGGTTTGGGGTCAGCTTGAGCACAAGGTTGGTTATGAGTGACTGTTGTCGTCACGGTTCCCGTCGTGACCTGCTGCTGTCCATTCGTGGCATCTAACATTGAAGCAGCATCGGGCTCAGGGATGAAGTCAACAGCGCCAGCCAGAGTTGAATCGACGGTGCTTGTGTCCTTTACAGTCTCAGTTGGCATTTGCATTTCCGAATTTGGTTGGGTCGGCGTACCTTCCGCTCTCACTGTTGGCGGTTGAGAGCCCATACGGGCCGGGCTGTTGGTCGGGTGAGCCGATCCGGAAAAGCCAGCACTGTTCACCACCGCTCCACCACCACCACTCAGCCCATTCGTGGGCCCAGGGGCCGGACCGTGATGCTCGTCGAGCCGGAGCATAGACGGTTGAACATGCTCCGGTAGCGTCTTGGGTGATACCGGCGGAGAGCACTGTGGACCAGATGACGGCGCGGTCCAGAACGACTCAAGATACTGTGATCTCTCCGGAATCGGGACCGAGCAGCCTCGCGTCGGGTCTATGTCCATCGCGTGTGATGTTGACGACGGATCGACCATGCCGGTGCTCCCTCTTCGCTCCGGTTGTGACTGCACCGCAGTGACTGCTGCATGCTTGGGAGGCTCAGGTGGCTGGTGGTTGGGGGCGGGAACCGGTGGATTGTCCGCGGGGGGCGGTGAGTGTGTTATGGTTGGTATGGTTGGAGGTGGCATGATGGGTCGATAGGTGTCAAGCCTCCTCTTCTTGACCGGATTAGAAGACACAAACTGGACATCATCGTCTTCCCTCTTGGCTGGCACGACCGACTGAGTAGCAGGGGCGGGCGGTGGTGGCGGTGGCGGTGGAAAGACTTGAGGAAACATTGGAGGAAACATCACGCCTTGATGGTGGTAGTATGTGCCGTCCATCCTGAAGAGAAATGAGAGAATTGGTGTCTTCAGAATGCGGGTGCGGGAACGGATGCAACATTGATGAGACGGAGGGATGCGGGTAGTTTAGTTGATAAGAATGGCCAAGCATCCATATTTGAACCCTGTCCCGAACAGCTACAGCTCTTGCAGAGTGTGCTGAGTACGCATGTTGGAATGACGGGACCCAGCACGGTTAGCATTAATTAGCAGGCCATGAACAGCAAAGAGAGAAGCCAAGAGAAGAGTGCTGGCATGTTGCACGGGTTGTCTTTCAACTCTTGTCTTTGGCGGACAGCCGGACGCTAGCCCGGTAATAAAAGGGAGTATTCACACCAGCTCTGCGTACTGTGACAAGCACCTTGAATCGATGCCACTTTTTTTGGTGGCCCTCAGCATGCAGATTGCCACCTGGGCGGTGGGTAGGGAAGCAGCATCAGGTGGGTGAATGGGCCCCTAGCTGTGCAGAAATACTTTGCCATCTCGCCTCAGACAAAAGGTGCCTTTTGGGCTGTTGTTGTTGTTGCCAGCGCTGCTGCTGCTCTCTGATTGTCTGTAAAACTGCAAAAGTCGATGCTGAGAGCAATGAAAGTGGTGAATGCATCCTTGTGCAGCACCAGACACACCCCCATGTCGTTTTGGCTAACCGAAGACCCCGAGTTTGAAGGGGCTGACTGTGCACATTAAGGGCCACTAGAGCTGGAAGGGGGAAGGCGATGGAACATCGAGATGAATCCACTTGGTTCAGTTGAGAGAGTTATTCAGGGAAGATGATGGCTGCAGACGGAAGTGCGACCGAGAGTCGATAACGTCGCCCAACACTGTCTATGTCCTGAGTGATGTGAGGGATGCAACATCCCTCCAGAGGCACAGCATTGAGCAATGAATGGAGCACTGGGTGTGAGGTTGGAAACATGAGACCCACAATAGCTTCCAGAGCTGGTGTAATTGGCCAGAATGCGCAGCCAATGACTGCAAAGGTGGCTTGACCGTTTGCCTCAGCCTCATGGTCAGCCTCAACTGTCGTTCAAGGTTGGGGCCGGCAGCTCCTGCCTACCTTGACTCCCCACATCGCGGGGCACCTTCCATTGACAGACACCCGTGGACGCAGCTACCTACAACCTTTCGAACTCAAACAGCGATTCCGACAACCGAATCTTTACATCAACTCTCGAGAACCATCGACGACACCTACCGCTACATTTACAGACTTCGCATGGTCGCGACACCACAATAGCAACACAACATCACGGCGACGGGCAGATCCCCGCCCAGCATGGCCTCTTCCACCGAGAACCCGCTCATGTCGAGCCAGAAGTCCTCGGAGCTTCAGGCAGTCCTCCACCCCCTCGTTCTCCTCACGATATCCGACTACATCACACGCCACACGCTGCGCTCCCAAGAAGGCCCCATCGTCGGCGCCCTCCTGGGTCAACAGAACGGCCGCGAGGTCACGATCGAGCATGCCTTCGAATGTCACCTTAAGCAAGTGCCAGAGGTCGACGGCGGCTACCTGCTAGATGCCGACCGCTTCGGCCGAAGATTAGAGCAGAGTACGTTTGGTTTGATATTCTGAGATTGCCGCTGCTGACTCCCTCCTAGTGAAGCTTGTCCACAAAGACCGCGGCCTCGACCTTGTTGGCTGGTACACTCTCCTCCCCTCCACCGGCCCGACCCCGACCATCCTCCCCATTCACAACCAAGTGCTCGCCGATTTCAACGAGTCCGCCCTTATTCTTGGCTTCCACCCACAGGAGGCTCTCTCTACCACAGTTGGCGGCAAGCTGCCTATGACGATTCTGGAGTCAAACTACGAGGTCGACGACGCCTCGAAGGCTGCCAACGATGGCGAGGACAAGAAGATGGAGGACGGCGACTCCAATAAGCTCAAGCTCCGCTTCCGCGAGCTTCCATACACTGTCGAGACGGGCGAGGCCGAGATGATCTCCATGGACCACGTCGCCCGCGGCGCCGGCAACGCCACCGCCATCGAGGCCCCCAAGGAATCCAAGCCAAAGGTCCAGCTCGTCGAATCAGGAGGCAAGCGTCGTGTCGTAGTGCCCGAGAGCGCTGACCAGGACATTGATGGTGCGCTTTCTCCTGAGGAGGAAGAGATGATTGCCTCCCTCACGGCGAAGGCCAACGCTGTCAAGATGCTTCAGGGCCGTATCCGCCTTATCACGTCTTACCTCGAGCGGCTACCCTCAGAATACCTTCCGGGCGTGGAGCAGCAAGAGCCAGTAGGTGAACACACGACGCCCTCACACACCATCCTGCGCCAGATCCAAGCTCTTGTCAACCGCCTGGAGCTCGTCGTCCCATCCGATGTTGAGAACTTTGAGAAGGAGGTTCTCTGCGAGGAGAACGATGTCGCCATCGTCTCGCGCCTCAACGACCTTATGCATAGCATCAGCGGCATGCGTGATCTTGGCAAAAGGTTTGGCGTTCTGGAGGTAGCCAAGAATAGGGATCGCAGGGCTGCTGATTTCACCACAGCTTACTCCGTAGGCTCATCCGGGTACAATGTTTCTGGTGTGGGCGACGTCTTCATGTAGGCCGGGAGGAAGTCGCAGGCAAAAGAAGCGGATGGACAGAAGCTTGCTCCGGCGGGACAGAAGGGTTAATTCATTGAGAGGCGTTCCGGGGGTAATGTAGACATGATGATACGCGCAGGGGTCCATATCAAGCCCCGACGAATAAACACCATACTTCTCATGCTTTTGCTTCCATATTGACTCTTTTTTTTTTAGGGACTGTTTCGCTCTGACATTCCTCTATCTCATTGCATGACATACATATATCTGGTTCAAGTTGATTGCTGTGTAATGCTTCAAAAAAAACTGCATTTTTACCATACTCATTTACCCACGATTATTTTCCATTTTGTGTCCCATCCAGCCTGAACCACTTGAGAAATCTATGACCAACGCTTATTTCCACTCCACTCGCTCCTCAACCTCGAATCCACAATCTGGCCCTGGCCGAAAGACGTCGTTTTGAAAAGAAAAAAGTAAGCAGAAATGTCTATCTTGGTATCAATCATTCATATTCATGGCCGTAAACTTGAAGCAAAGTCTGCAGCTTCAGCTGAGGAATGTTCCTCCTCGAACCAGCAGCACCATCTTTCTCTTGCTGTACCTCTTCAGGCCTCGATGACAACCTTCAAGACGAGTTTGCCCTCGTCATCGCACGTCCTGCTGGCAAGTTCAAACGCCTTGGAGGCATTCTCAAGGCCCTTGAACCTGTGCGTGACCATGTCGTCGAGACAGGGAAGGCCGCCGTTGCCCTTGGCGCAAAGCAGTCGGACGCCGGTGGGATAGGTGTTGGCGTAGCGGAAGATCCCAAGGATGTCGATTTCCCTCAAGTGTGCGACGGACAGAGGGAGGGTCTGCACCGGAGTGCCCATGCCCACCATGACTACCTTGCCGCCGGGCCTCGTGGCGTAGAGACTGGTGTGCATGCAGACCTCCTTGCCGGTGCACTCGAACGTGACATCCACGCCGTCGTCCTCTGCGTCCATCTCTAGCTCCTCGGGCACCTTGGTGAGAGCGAGGATGTCGGCGGCCAAGGCCTTGGCGCCGTCGAATTTGCCCTGGACGCTTTGGACCGAGAAGATGCTGGCGGGCGTCATGACGCCGGGGTCGGCGGGGGTCGAGGTTCCGGAGTTGTTGTTGTAACAAGAGCCGGGTGCCGGGACGACGTAGCCGTGGGTAGCAAAGCCCTTGAAAATGGCGTAGTTGACGCGGCCGGCATCAACATCGGTAATGGTGACTTGAGCACAGCCAGCTTGACGGGCCATGGCCGCGGTCAAGAGACCGACTGTGCCAGCCCCAATGACAAGAGCTGTTGATCCAGGTTCGGGCGTGGCTCTGTTGACGGCGTGGATGGCGACGGAAAGGGGCTCGAGGAGAGCGGCCGCCTCGTAGGAGACGTGGTCGGGGACCTTGTGGCACCACGCCGCGGGGTGGTTGATTCTCTCTTGCAATGTGCCTTGGTAGTGAGGAACACTCTTAGCGCTGGACCTGAACTTCATCTTCTTGCAGAGGTTGTATCGACCCTTGCGGCAGATGGTGCACTGTCCACAAGGGACGCCAACTTCGAGAGCAACACGATCACCGAGCTTGAAGCCGGTGACGAGGGGCCCGATGGCGACGACCTCGCCAGAGGACTCGTGGCCGAGAGAGAGCGGGTGACAGGCGCAGAGGTCTCCATTGGCAAACTTCTTGTAGTAGCTGACGTCGGAGCCGCAGATGCCGGTTCTCTTGACAGAGATCTGCAGCTCGCCGGCGCCTGGCTCTTCAATGGTTCTCTTCTCCTAGACATGTCGTTAGATTTAACGTCTCAAGGCGGGGCGAGAGAGGACGACAGGCGTAGGGATGCGTGCGACGTGATCAACGTGGGGTCATGTGTAACATGCCCGCGTTCTCCACGTCACAATACCGAGAGAAGGAGTGAACATACCAATCGCAGATCTCGCGGACCATGCAAGACAGACGCAGTGACGGAGGAAGATTTGGACTTGTAGACGGGTAGTTGCATTGGTGCCGCCTCGCCTGTTGCGACTGGAGCCATCTTGAAGGTAGATGACGCTTGCGGCGTGGGGTGAAGCGTGGGATGTTGGTCTGATGATGGGTTAGGGTGGTGAAGGGGCTTGGCCCAACTGCCTATTAGGGAGGGCTAGTACAGTGGGATTGGCCCAGGTACCGACTGAGGGGCGCCGTCAATGGAGATGCTGAGGATAGCGAGGCACGGCCCTGGGATTCTAGAGGGGACCGGCGTGGGATGTCTCAAGGACTGATAGGTTGACTTTTTGGGGGTCTCCGTGGCTGGGGGTAGCAGGACTAGAAAGACGTGGAGGATGTGGCAGGGTTGGGAAATGTGAGAACCAATTCAAAGGGACGAGACCATGTGGCAACGAAGGGGGGTTAGATCTTTATCACTTTATAAAACAAAGTGATAGCGGGAAGAAGGGTGCGAGTTTACGATAGAGAGCAGGAAAA